GCCCCCCCGAGGGCCCAAGGGCGCCAGCCCCTGCAGCCCCCACCCGCGCAGGGTGCTCACGGCAAAGAACGAGCCACCGCACGTAGACCGGGTACGCGCTGGGTACTTGCTAGCAGCGTTATTTTTTCCCACGAAAGAACACTCGAATAACTAAAAATGCAATTACTGCTGCTGATGCACATGATATTTCTTGTACAGCTTATTGAAAATTATTTCCAGTTCCTTAGCATTTCAGCTAATCTAAGTGTTACCTCTGGGTACCCGATCATCTGCGGCTGGAACAGAAAACAGTGCTGTAGCAGAGTCAATGATTCACAAAGCAGCTGCGTAAACAGGGACTTAAATGATACCCACATTTTCTGACCGGAGCTTTTTAGCTGGGCAGCCTCCGTCTACGGGATGAAGCATATAATAGAGACGAACTTTGCTGGCATGTTTCCGACTCTGGAAAAAAAAAAAGAAAAAAAAAAAGAAAAGAAAATGCAAGAAATGAAGTTAGAAAGAGCAAGAGGCTCCATTACTGTGCATGCAACACCCATTTGCAACAAGGCTTCACCTCCCCTTGACATGGGTATCCAACACGGGAGGAGAAGAGGGGGAAGGAGCATTTGCATCTGGCAGGGGTTTCACAGAGCTCTCCACCACACTAAACCAACAGTGGAAGGATTACGGATTACGGCGCCTGCCATTAGCAGAGAAAGGGTCCACCCTCACCGCGCTGTGCGCAGCCCCGCTGCCCCAGCCCCTGGAGGACGCAGCGGGAATAAAGGCGGCGAGAGCAGAGACACGTCTGATACCAGACGTTCCCATGGCGCGAGAGACTGAAAAGACGGGCGTTATTTAGCCCCGGGCGGAGACAGGACGGCATCACGAGGGATCCGATGAACATACACAAACGGATCCGCAGCTCCTACGCTTACGGGAGGATAAAATATGTAAGGGGTATAAAACCTCACTCTCTAGGAAATAAGCCAACTGATACCTGCCAAGGGTTCGAAAGATACTTCTCCCGCGGGTAAATTATCGGGTAATTGTGCATTACGAAGCCTAACGCTTTCCTCGTGCCCCTTGTGCCGGTGCTGGCCCTGCACGGAGGGGATACGGAGCGCGCGGATCCCCAGCCGAGCCCCTTCTCCTCCCTCAAGCATTTCCAAGGGCAGCTGAACAGAAAACCCTTGCAGCAGCCACGAGAACGGGAGGGTTTGCGCTCCAGGGAAAGCGGTGCCAGCGGGGGAAAGCCCAGGCTCCAGCGTACCGGCAGGCGAGGACGCGGAGGACGGAGAGGTGTCCTGGTCACGGCAGCGCCCACGGGCAAAGCAATCCTTGTGACGTGCAAAACGTAAAGGCAGATTTAAAAGCTCCTACAGCAGGAGCACGACATAAACCTTCGAAGCCCCAACTTACAGTCGGCTCTCGTCGGCGTAAGGGGGAAAGGGGACTGCAGCCCCTGCCTACCCGCGTCCGGAGCCCAGGCACGCACGGCAGCTATTACCATGCCAATGTCTTCTCCAAATCCCCATCCCCGATTGCCTCACAGAACAACGGCACCATAATATTATCATTTCAGATCACAGATTTGCAATTTTAAAGTATTAAATTACCATTAGTGTGTTCTGGAACATTCTTTTTCCTGTGGTGTGAACCTGGAGCTAAATCTGCAGGGCGCTGTATTTGCATGCATAAACGCGACTGTGCAATCATTTTTTTTTAACGGAGCAGATCAGTCAAGATAAATAACGTCACGTATCTTTCTCTAGCTCATCCTCCTGCAGGCTTTTAGAAAGCGGGACCTGCTGCAGGCAGAGCGAAGCGCAGGAAACCCCCAAAGCTTCAGCCAGTGACCAGCAGCCCGGTCAGCGATGGCGCCATGGGGGAATGACAAAAACCAAACGCCTGAGATGCGAAGGACGGATGCACGAAGTCAGCCCTGGCGTTGGCGACGTCCCTACTTTCTGCCCGACGGGACGCTCGGCTGGCTTCACCCGGCGGGGGTCTGGGCGCCGGGAAGCCCCTGCCCGGGAGGGCGCCGCAGCCCCTCGTGCCGCATGCTTTGGAGGGGGGCGAGTCGGGCGCAGGGCAAAGGCGACCTGGCCGGAGCTTTCCAGCTGGATTCCCTTCCTGGAGATTCACAGCCTGGGCGCAGGCAGGCGGCCCCGAGTCACCCCACAGCCACGGGGCTCTTCCCTCGGGTCACGAGGCTTCCTCGCACACAAGCGCAGCCCGCTGAATTTAGAAGCTAAAAAGTTTGGGGGGGGAGGGGGCTTATTGGCTTTTTTTGTAAGACGAAAAGGCAAGATGTTAACAGCAATCATTCTTAGTGTTCTTTTCCATGGCACTCAGCTGAGCCATGAACGACGGCCAAATGTCAGCATTAAAAGGTAGCGAAGCTTCAACCTTCTGTAAAACACCTCTCGCCTTTATTTACGCACTCCTTTGGATTTATGAAAGCTAAAGTAAAGAAATAACTTATGTCTGGCATAATTTAAAACTACCTGGCTCCTTATGCAGCCTTATTATCCCACGGTTATAAAAGCGGAGCTTAAAACCATCCCTGGCCTGCGCAGGTCCGTACTGAGCACCTCACGCCCTCCAGGGGAACGAGGGAGCACAGCCCATTTGTCACCCGCTTTATCTCCGGTGTTTTCCCCATTTACACGTGTATTTATCACCCTCACACCACGGCGAGAGCAGAGTGATTACTCTCGGCGCGCTGCTCGCCTGCGCGTTATCTTTTCCCCCGCACAAGGCAACCTGGAATCGGCAGCTCCGGGGTGCGAGAAG